ACCGCTGCCCCCCACACACCCCATTTTGCCTCCTGGGCCTCAGGGAATCCTCCTGGACAAAGCAGTAAGACAGGGTGGGGGATCCCGGCATATCTGATTCTTGGAACAGTTGATTGTTGGGAGGGGGGAAAAATACCATAAGGAGTGACTGGACAGAGCGGGCAGGGGAGAATGCAGTCGGCGATGTTGTGTATGCACGATAAAGACTGACTGGGTGGGGAGGGGAGGGGTGGGTGGGTGGGGAGGGGCAGGGCCAGTCAGGGGCACGATTTACTGATTCTCTGAACCGCACAGAATCATAACCGGTTCTATTGAACTAGTCCAAACAAGTAGAATCCCACCCCTGATTGTAATCCTGTATTGTATATAGGAATTCCTATATTAGCATCCAAGGGCAATGAGGGAAGAACATGAAATAATGTCAGAGTAATGGTCTTTCAGCTTTTAGGGATTGCACTGTTTAGTGAAGGGAAATTTGGTATGAAAATCAGAATACCTGTTTGATTCATTGGTAATAAAAGCGGGAGTCTTGACTTGATCCAGTTGGTGTTCTATGTCTTCTACACACTGTTCTGTGTCTGATACACATTTTGTGTCAGCTACACACAAAGCATTGTTTAATCAGTGTTTTGGTTCTGGGATCTACTGCTAGAATTCCAGGGAAAAAAGCAATAGTGGCATCTAGGAAATTTAGTTTTCTCTGATGGTACCATAAAGGAGTGAAATATATAAGCTTCCAGACAATGTTTCATAGATGCAGTTCCATCAACACTATAGTAGTCTGTCTGGAGCAGTAGTGGGATTCAAATATTTTTACTATCAGTTCTGTGGGTGTGGCTTGGTGGGCGTGGCAGGGGAAGGATACTGTAAAATCTCCAGTCAGTGATGGTATTTTCCAGTTCTCTGAATTACTCAAAATTTCTGCTACCGCTTCTCCAGAACTGGTCAGAACCTGCTGAATACCCACTTCTGGCCTGGAGCTGCTAGGAGATGCAGTTCAAAAACATCTGGAGAG